CCAGTATTTTACAATCAAATTTCAGATAAATATATATATAAATATATAAAACTGGTTACAATTATGATTGAGATTTTATCGTGTATGATTATATAAAAATAGTTTTAAATTAGAGTTATACAATATTAACCTATAAAGAAAGATGTTTTAGACCAATTGTTAAAAAATGAAATGAATAAGAAGGTTCTTTATTATAATAAAATTGTTAATTTAGATTACATTTTAATCATTTGCATAAATTTTTATTCGTCTAATATTTGTATGATTATTCTTTATCGCACTTAAAATATTATACTTTATTGTTTTTCATAAAATATTATAGAACAATAAGTTTAAAAGAAGGAAACATCTCATATATAACCCATAAAAAATAAAGATACTTATGCTATTTAATGTTTTTACAATATAATTTCTGAGATAAATTATCTTTATTTAGGCTAAAAGTTTTACAATTATGTCTATATATTTTACTACTAGAGTTACTTTTTCGTAAAGTCAGATTTAACCTTTCTCGGCATCCTCTTTCAAAAAAGCAATGACGTAACTATTTCCTTTTTTTGTTATTACTAAATTCTTGAGGCAAAATTAATAGAAATAAAAAATAAAAAGGAAAAGAAAATAATTAATTATTTCTATAAGAATGTTCTGTTACTTTAATTTTGTGCATCTATAGAAGAATATTTTGAATGTCATAATAAAAATAAATTATATATACAGTTAGACCTGTATATAATCGTATTGTATATAGTCACCTTTATATAAAAACACATTTTTGTAAAACAGACTTAAAGTATATTAAATTACCTCTTTATAGTCATAAATCAATTATAGTCACTATTACACAAAATTCTTAACGTACATATCATTTCTATTAGAAAATCTACCTCTTTATAATCACAAGGTTTTTGATTGGTTTATATCAAAAAGATCTGATTGGTTGTATATCATAGTTTAAAAAAGTTTGATAAGATTGATAATCAATAATTTTATATAGATTTTAAATGTAACACACTTAAAATATAATACTTTAAAATGTAACGCACAAATGTTATAATTTTTTCATTCTATAAAGAGTTTTTTTTCTCGTATTATATCAATATATTGAATAAAAGAGAGTGATGTTTAAAATGTCATGCTTTTGTGAGAAATTCTTTTTTTATTTTTTGGTGAACCCCTTCTAACATTCACATCCTCCTTCTCACCAAGTAGTATTTCCTCCCTATAATGTCTGTTGATCGTCTCAAAAAAGCCGTTCAGCAATAAGTGTTAGCCTTAAATACCAAATTTGTGAATGGTTAAATAAAAATAAAAAACAAGAGGAAATTGCTGCTCATTACAATGAACAAAACCTAATTCTAAATATTAATCATAGTACTGTGATAAAGATATTGGCACAAAGTGAAAAATGGAGTACTATATTAGAAATTGAAGGTTCTAAAGAAATTTATAGACAAAAAGGAGTCAAATTTCCAGAACTTGACAAAGCTATGAATTTGTGGATAAAAAATGTAACAGTAAATGGTGTGATCCTAACAGATGTATTAATAAAAGAAAAGGCAAAATTTTTTGCTAATGCATTTTTTATACAAAAAGATGAGTTAGTATTTTCTAACAGTTAGTTAGATAGCTTTAAAAAATATAATAATATTTGCTAGTATCAGATACATAGAGAATCTGGAAATGCGCTAATAGCATCTTTACCAGAAAAAAGAATTAAGCTTTGTCAGCTTTTGAGCCAGTATACTCTTGATAGAATTTACAATATTGATGAGACGGGTCTTTATTATAGGATGTCTCCAAATTAAATACTTTCAACTAAACCAGTTCGTGGCGAGAAGAAAGACAAAATGCAAATTACAGTTCTTCTTGATGTAAACGTAATAGGAACTAATAAACTTAAACCATAAAAAATTGGTAATGCGAAACGTTCAAGACCTCTTTCAAAAATTAATCTAGAATAGCTTCCAGTTCATTATTGTGAGAATTCAAAGGCATAGATGAACTTAACAATTTTTGAAGAAGTTCTTCGTGAATTGGATAGCTATTTTAGAGTAAAAAATAAAAAAATCTTGCTTTTAGTTGATAATGTACCATCACATTTTGATCCACATTATTTACCGACTGAGCAAGATGTAGATAATGATGAAGAGACTGAATCGATATCTGGTAAGTTTAAAATTTAAATTCTTTTTATCTTTTCGTTTATGATATAAATTTTAATATAACTTACTATTAGAATTCATTATTGGAAAAATTATAGTTTATTAATTGTCATATACACATTTTTTTATTATATAATTTTTTTGTTACATAATTTTTTTGTTACATTTTTTTTTATTATATATTTTTTTTATTACATATTTTTTTTGTTACATTTTTTTTTGTTACATATTTTTTTATTGTTATAAATAAAATTTATTTATTATTACATAATAGACATGATAATTAGCAAATATTTAAATGAAAATAACTTACCTAAATTTTTTATATAGGAAATCAAACTTCAAGAGGCTGTAGTAATCGTAGATCTAGAGACTATGGTAGAAGTTATAGTAGAGGTCGTGGTGGAGGTCATTATGATGGAGACCATAATAGTGAACCAAGTAATTGTAAATCTGAAAGTCGCAGACCTAGTATTTTTCAGCTTCAATTAACTCATATCAAAGTGGCTTTTTTACCCCCCTAATACTACAAGTCATTTTCAGCCACTCAATGCTGAAATAATTGCAAGCTTTAAAAGTCATTATAAGAGGAATTTTGCCGTTATATGTTAAACCTCTTTGAAGATGGCAAAGATATTAACAAAGAAAAAATCAACATTAAAGAAGCAATTAATTATTTAGTAGATGCATGAGAATAAGTAACTGAAGAAACTATAAATAACTGCTGGAAAAAGACCAGAATCTTACCTTCCTTAACTGATGAGGATATTGATAATGTAACACAAATTCAACAAAATTTTACAGATCGTGAAGCAGTAAATATTGATCAAATCATTGAAGAAATTGAAAAATTTATTGATGATTCTTATAATATTTTATTAAAAAATGCATTAACTAATTTCTTTCATGAATTAGAAGATATTCCAACTGAAAAAACTCTAGACGATAATGATATTATACAATTAGTTCAAGAGGAAATGCATGATGAAGATAACACTAATGATGATTCTGAAGAAGAACCATTGCTAGTATCTTTGAATAAAACTTTAAAATCCTTACAAACTTGAATTGCATTTTTTAATCAGTAACAATTAGACGAATTTAGCATTGAAAATGGTCAAATTTTTAAAAAATACTTAAAAATAGTAAAGTGGCTTGAACTTTAATCTTAAAAACAAGTTCCAATTACTAATTTTTTTAGCAGTCATGAATTCAATAATTGATTTATAAGTTTTAATAAATATAATAATAAAATTGATTACAACTGGAATAAATCATATAAAAAATAAAATTAAAGTTGTATTTTTGATTTTCTAATGGAATTTCACAATGATTTACAATATATTTTATTTGTGAAACCAATTTAACCTTTAAATAATCATCACATATTTTTTTTAATATATTTGTGACTATATAGAGGTAAATCTTTTACAATCACACCTTTATATAGTCATTCATTTTTATGGAACCAATTATATGACTATATACAGGTCTAACTGTATCTCTATATAATAGAGTCATTTAAAATTTAATAATTTTTAAGATGTGATATAGGAATATTTTAATGATATAAGTATTAAAAATTTATAATTTATATCATTAAGTTGCATGTGACTTCATAATATAATTATATTATAAAGTTATATGCGACTTAGCTTAGGTTATAAAGGCAACTTCATAGTCTATTGATAGCTTCATAATATAATGATAACTTCATAGTTTACTGGTAACTTCATAATATAATGATAATTTCATAATATAATAGTGATATCATAATCTAATTCATGATCTGGTGATAACTTTATAACCTACTATTTCATACTCTAATAATGACTTCATAACCTACATATGAGTAGCTCCTTTACGTTTATAATATTGTTTCATCTGTTTCTTGTATAATATAGTGGTAACTTCATAGTCTAATAGTGACCAGTAGTATTTTAATTTAATGGTGATATCATAATCTAATAGTGACTGCTTTCTTTTTGTTCCTAATCCGTTTACATAATAAAATCTATATTGTTGATTTTAGCTTTCCAGTCTTCTTTAAATATCTGATTCTATAATGAGGGTATTGGCCCTCTATGCTAGTTTGAATACTAGTTCTTTATTAATATTTTGCATTTATTTAGTTGCCTTTTATTTTTGATTTGCTTACTAGCTTGCTATATGACTTTTTTTTCAAAGGATAAAAAAATTAATTAAATATACATTAGTCAAAATATGATACTTAGACATAAATTTAGTTAAGTCAAATATGGGTCTAATAGCATTTTAATATGCATCAAATTGAAGTCTATAGTTCTGGTACAATTAAATAGCCAATAGTCGTATATTCAGACAGATTATTCAACTAGTATTAATAATAAATTTGATCAATATTAGTAACTTATTCAAATTAAATTCAAAAATATTATTTATATATAGTATATATTATTATATGTATAACATGTCTAATATATAGCTATTTAACAATTTTTTAGTAATATTTATATGTATATTATATATTTATTATATTCAGATTATTCTTAATACAATTAGCAAATTATTTGTCATATTAATAATTTTCTATTTCAGTAAACTTTTTTTTGCCTTTTCGATTAGTAGTAGCTCTTTCCTAATGTTAGTTGTAATATACAATATAATATTAGTTCTCAAATATAAAAATATGAAACGAATTATTTCATTTACTTTAGGTATTGTTATAAAAAATTCGTTCATTTCATCAAGTTGCATTTCATTTAGTTGCATTTCATTTATTCTAGCCGATGCCATAGTAGATGATTCACTTCTTTCGTCATAATCTTCAATCTCTTCTGCGAAGAACAGGTTGATTAATTAATCTTTATCATTAATATTATCTTCTGCATCGAAATAATCATAATTAATAAATTCATTCATCTCATTTGTTTCATCTGTTTCATAATATTTATTATTATTGTTCGCCTACTCAGGTATATTTTCAGGTGGTTTACTTGAGATAAAATACACCTCGTCATTATATATGTATTTCTGTTACTTCTTATTGTAAACCTGCTGTTCAGCCATCAGATCTAACACGTCTTGAAGTAATGACTTTAACTATCAAAAGCAAAGATTAAAACAAAGTTGAATAAATATTATATGAACATATATTATAAAATAATATCTACCTTTTGTGAACGTCACGGATGATCATAAACGTGAAGAAATTTCTTTTCTTCAGAGTTCCTTGTATAATATTTATCTTCTGAATCAAATTGTTCAGGTGAGTAATAATCATTTTGTTATAGAATGGATATGACTTTGTTCTTATTGAATCCTTGAATACTTTTATTACACATCTTAAATAAGTTAAATGTTGCCTTTATTCGTCTATTTTTTTTCTGATAAATATTATTAATAACGGTATTAAAATAAATATAATAGGTATATATCTAATCAATTAAATATTTACCTCAGCAAGACGAGTATTGGCATGCAACCTTCTATCAACTTTTCTTAATGTTCCAGCTTATCTTTTTTTAATCTATCTCTACGATGTTTATGAATAGTTTTAAGTCAATTAGACAGTTGAGTGACTGATGGATTGAAGACACCTTTCATCATTCTCTTCAATTCTAAAATCAGATTCTCGTATATAGTTGTCACTTGTTCAGAAAACATTTTCTCATAATTCAGTTGATATTCAGCCGGTATCTGTCCTTTAATCAGGTTTTTCATCTCAGCCTATAGCAGAAAAGTTACATGTAATATATATTTAAATAATTAAACTAGTCATATATTAAAAAATACTTATTTTAGCCACCGTAGTATTAGATTCATCTGGCAATATTGGTCTGTCCACACTTGACATTCTTGATAACTCATAAGGATTATTTTCAGAAACTCGAACTTTGCAAAAAATGGGACAATTCTGTTTTTAATTTATCATTTTCAGCTATTAGCTTGTTATTTTCATTTCCAAATTGTTCGTTGAAGATTCAAATTATAGAGTTTTCTTCTTTCAATAACTGAATTCTTTCTTCTAGATTATTCATATTTCTTCTTAATTCGACTTCTATTTCTCGTTGTTGTTGCATTTCAGCTTGCAAATGAATATTTTCCTTTTTTGAATTCTCTATTTCCAGATTATCTGTTTGAATTATTTAGTTTTTATACTTAGAAACATAGATATAATTTAATAAACATCACAATAAAATTGACTTAATTATCACCATGTTTATTACTAATTGACCTTAGGATTCTAATATTTAGATATCTCTTGATTATCTCTTCAGATTGACATATTGGAGTGGTTGTTTGAAGTACTATAAGTATTGTCACAGTTACCAGGTAAATTAGCGCAGTTATTGGCTAAGCTGTTAAGCGAACTGAAGTGGTTGTTGAGGTTAAGTGAACTGAAGTAGTTGTTTGAAGTGCTGTAGGATGTTTTAATACAGTTAGACGAACTTGAGAACATATTGCTGTAGTTACTTGATGAACTTGAAAACGTGTTGCTGCAGTTATTAGGTGAACTGGCGCAGTTATTGGCTGAGCTATTACTAGGTGAACTGGTATGGCGAAGGCAGTGTTGTCATAGGACATTGATGGGACACTGATAGGATATAGATGAGACAGTTAGGATATTTGGGATATAGTGTGGGACAGGTTGGGATATATAGCTGGAACAACAAATCTCTAGGACATCAAAAATGTACATTATTAGGCAAAGGTTGTTGAACTGGTATAGGTTGTTTAATAGGTTTTGGTGGTGAAATTTGTGAAGTAGTTGAAATTTTGCTTGACCTTGTATAATAATATTTTTTTGATGGTTTCATATTAGAAATGTTATCATTCGTGAGAAAAAAAATGTTTGACATAGAAAATTCAACTTATATTTATATTATTCTTTGTCATTAATCATAATATTTAAAGATTTCGGTAAATTCAACTTATATTGATCATGATTTAATGATATTGACTTAAATTCGACTTAAATTCAATATATTGATTATGATTAGTTGAGTTACTTAAAAATATTAATAAAATTTTAAAAATTCAAATTAAAATAATTAAATAATTCAACTTATAAATTGTATATATTACGATATCATTTATTATTACTTCATTCATCATTTTGTTAAAATAATAAGAAAACGATCTATTACGGATATTATAAAAATTATGCAAGCTCTTTGAAATCAAATTCATCTTTCATAGAAAATGTTAAAATTACAATAAGAGCATCAAAGACAAAGGTTCGATATTTTTGCGACAAATGTAAAGGAAAACTGGTTGATCTATATATAAAAAATGCAAACGAATAAAAGGAACAACTGATTTCTTTAGGATTAGGGCAGTTAGTACATTCATTTATTAATAAATCATCAATATCACAATTAATAGTCAAACCAGTCAACGAGGAATATCTAACACAACAATCAATAATTGATAATGACGATGCGCTAGAAGAAATAATTGATGATAACATTTAAAAAAACAAACTTTTACATTTCTTTTACGTAAAAAGAAAAGAATAGCAACCTTTCGATATATCATCATGTATAATGAAGGTAATTTTGAAAATTCTGAAGATTCTAATAATAATTCATCAACTGAAGATGAAAATGAAGATGATACAGATGATGGAGATGATATGGAAGATGGTAGAGATAATAATGAATTTTTGAATGATTTCAAAGATTATTCCTATCTTATGTTCGATATACCAGATGCTTCAGAGTTACCAAAACAAGATTGAGCAATGTGGATTTTAATATGGATAATGAAGTTCAGGTTGAATTTGAAATTACCAGATACCACAATTGAAGTATTAATAAATTTGTTAAAATTATATTAAAAGAGTGCAGAGGTTCTGAATATGAATCATTTCCAAAATTCTTATATATAGCGAGACAAACTCTAGATATAGTCGATCAATTCATATATTTTGCAGCTTGGTAAAAATGTTACAAATTATATAAGAAAGATGATATAACTAATATTCAACAATTGATCACGAAATGTAGCTATGTAGAATTTCTTAATTCAGTTACAAAGCAATTTAAACAATATCAAACTCCTTTAGCAAAACAGATTACTTTAAACAATAGTATATCATTCAGGCTTGAATTAGTCTATCTAGTTACAAGTATCCAACATCAACTTTCAAATATGTTTCTTTGACTAGGATTTAAAAATTCCTTACAACATTAGACTAATTGTTTATAACATAATAATATCTTATCAAATGTTTATGATGATCAGATATGGCGAAATTTCAAGAAATCATCTAAAAAAGACTTGAACTATTTTTTTGACCGAAGAAGGCTGACAATCATCTTAGATTAATTATTAATTTGAACTAGTTCCAGCCTTATGACAGAGCAACCTATAGTACAGGAGTTCTATATGCCACATTATATAATTTACCTTATAACATTCAGTTTTAGCCTGAAAATATAATTATACTTGGCATATTACCAGGATCTAATGAGGTTAGCCTGCATAAGATAAACCACTATCTTTCACCTATAATTACAGAATTTAAGTTACTTTGGAAAGGAATAACTCTTAATCATACGAACAAATATCCAAGTGGTAAAGATATTCGAGCAGCATTGATTTTAGTTTCATGTAACATTCCTGTGGCTCAAAAACTATGTGACCACGTATCTGCTCTCATGTCATATCACAGAAAGTGAATTATATTGACAACCAACATAATTTTGACAGTATATTAAATATAAATAAATAGTTCGTTGTAAAAGATTTAGCAAGATATCGACAAAATGCTTTGAACTGGAGACGATGCAAAACCAATGTCAAACAATCTATATTTGTTAAAAAAAATAGCATTAAATGGTTAAAACTGCTACGTCTAACGTATTTTAACCTGATTAGATTTATTATCATAGACTTTATGCATTGTCTTTTCTTAGGCATTGCTAAATGGATAGTAAAAAGAATATGGATTGATAAAAATATATTAAATCAAAATGCTTTTCAGTCAATACAAAGGAAAATGATTGATTTTTAAGTACCAACTGATTTAGGATGGGTACCTGGTAATATTCATGAAGGTGAAGGATTTTCTAATTTTACAGCAGACCAGTGGCGAAACTTTTTCTTAATATATGCCACAGTGTTATTATGGAATCATCTTTTACCAAAAGACTAAAAAATTCTAACATATTTTGTCAGAATGTGTAGAATTTTAGTTAGACGAATTGTAGAAATCGATGAAATAGATGAAGCTGATAGTGGATTAATAGAAATAATAAAACTGATCGAAAGGCATTATGGTGAAGGAAAAATAACACTGAATCTTTACTTTTTGCTACATTTATACGAATATACTTATGATTATGGCCCTTTATACTCATTCTGATGCTTTTCATTTGAACGAATGAATGGCATATTAGGTAAGACAAATTAAATGCTAATTTTTAATTTTTTATTTTCTTTATTTAATAGTTTTATTATTTTATTAGGATCATTGCCTAATAGTCAACATTAGATCAAAACTGAATTAATGTACTGATTGATGACCAATGCAAAAATAAATGATATAATCAGTTTTAGTTTAGAAGTAAAAGGCTTGAATTACTTAATATCAAATCTTCTATTAGGTTTCTTTCTGATGCTGATAATTTTTCAATAGAAGAGATGTAGCATTTCTTAATGAACTCGAAGAATACATTAAAATTACCTAATACTAGTTTCAAAAATTTTCCAAAAGAGTTTCTACCATCACATTCTGAAAACGTTCAGCTTGAGGAATTAATATATGATTTTCTTATCGAATATTACATAGATACATATATAAATTTAACATTTAGAAAATAATTTACAAACGATTTACTCAATTCGACAATAGTTGTTAATAAGGTGAATCAGTATGGGAGATGTCAAATTGACATAGAAATTTTTGAAAATACTGCTTCTGCGTAATATATTAAAAACTCTTTTATTTTGGTCAAATTTATCAATCGTGATGGGAGAAGTATTAATACCTATCCTGGCCAAATTCAATATTTTTTCAAACATAACATTCATATAAACTCATAAATGTTAACACATAAATTGGCCTATATTAGATGGTATAAAGCAGTTAATTTATCCTCAACTTGATTTTACTTTAATATTAATGATAATGCTAAAACTTGCAATGTCGAGTTGTGGGAAAATAGTTTTTACCTAATCAGTAAAGACTGTATAATCCCAATACATAATATTTTAGGTTGAATTATACCTGTGAAATATAAAGTATCAAATCAGTCTAATGCTAAAGAGTACTTAGCAATTGTTTCACTAAATAGGAAATTTCATTTGGGTTGAAGTTCGAATAATTATTATTCTATTTGAAAATTAATAATAAAATTTAAATATTTCGTTATGATAAATTTTGACTATTCTAATAATTTACTTTTATTTGTTATACAGATCATATGGTTATCATTCAACTATTATTCAGTAAAGTCAAATACAAGTCTAAATATAGGTCATTTACTAATAGTATTTGAATGCTCTTGATTTTAGTTTAATATAGGCCGAATTTTAATATAGCTGAATTTTTACTTTTTGACTGGTAATATGATATAACTAAACTCATTAGTCTATTGCATAGAATTGAGAATCTAGGTTTGAATGAAGTTAATTTGAAAATCATTTGTAAAAAGAAAATTAATGGCCATACTTTCCTTAAAACTAGTAAAAAAGATTTTAAACAATATGGTCTAGAAGCTGATCCTATCATAACAGGATGACAGATCACATTAAATGGCTTACATAATATCACTGGCTAAGTTTAATTCTACTTTTTGACTACCTATTTACTATCAGAAGCGGAGGTCGAGGTATTATGCTTTTCAGAGGTATAATAGGTATTATTATGGCTGACCCATTTGTTTACCAGAAGTGTGTACCATTATAAATGCTTATGTGCAATCATTTTTTATGTTATATGTATGCCAATTTACTGCGTTTTCAATTTTAGGTACTTTCTTGTCACTTTTAAATAACTTTTGAGTAACTTTTGAGTAACTTTTGAGTAACTTTTAAGTAATTTTCAAGAAATTATATTCAGGTTATTTAATTACTAAAATAGTGTCAGTTGATTTTTAGGTATATAATTTGAGAGATCAAAGATGATAACATAGTAAAATTTTTATAATAAATTACATATTTGCCTACCTTAAATGTTCACATATATCTGGGTATATTCTAATGATAGAGTAAGTAAGTTCTATTATTTTATATAAAGTTTCTTTTTGAGAATTACCTACTCTAAATACATAATATATGTCATATATGTCTAGATATATACCATTGAGATGTAGCCTTTATGCTATATCTGGATACATACTAGTGATAGTGTAGTCTTCTTCCATAATTTTGTATAATATTTCTGAAGAAGACTACTCTAAATATTACCTATTAGGAATATATTTATTCGCGATTTGCTTATCAACTTGCTATGTATTTTTTTGCATATCAAAAAAAAATAATTAAACATTTCTGAATTTTATAGAAATAATATAACCTTTCAAATTAATATCATATATACACTAACTAATTTTAACCAAACTAATCGCACTAGAACTGTTCGCTACAATAGTGTTAGATCTTTAGCTGATATCTTATTGCACAATAATATTGTGGCAGAATATAATAACAGGATGACTACTATACTTTAATAATGCTTATCCAATAAGCATCCTGTACACTTTATGTCTTCTGAAGTCAGTAATGATATCGAGAAATACTCCTCCTATATTTTGTGTATTATTAGTACTTTGATTAATAGGTAAAAGACAGTCATAAATATTACAGGCAT